ATATTTATTTTGCTGGAAAAAAATCTTGAATAGAAAATAGCTTTTTTGAAAGATCATACTAAAAATAATGGGGAAAATATTTAAATTCAGTGAAGGGGGCGTCAGTGGCCGCAAGGTTAAATTACTGTAAGGTAAAGGTCCAGGGTTCGAATCCAGCCCTGCATTCAAATCGATATACTTACAAAGGGGCTTTTTTTCAAAAACACCGACACCCCAAGGGTCGATATGATCTCTGCTGCTGCAGACCCAAGTTAAACAATCATAGCGGTTCCGCGTAGAAATAAATTGCTTACGAAATGAACAAATAAAGGAAGTGGATTTTTTTTAGACATCCTGGTAAAGGTCCCGGGTTCGAATCCAGCGGGCCTGCATTCGAACCGGGCATGTCTTATTTCTGGTTATGAATTTGATGTATTTCGGTGAAGATTTTGAAGTTTTTGGTAAAGCTGTCACCCAAAATCGTTTGTTCTAGTTAATAAAATCATATTTTATTTTAATGTGTTGAAAAATCAGGTAGCAGATAGAATAATCATATTGAGATTTTATCTTGGGGTTTTAAGGAGTCTTTAATTTGGGGTCTTTTTTATCATTCTGTTCTGACGATTCATACCATTCATTTTTCATTCTCTTTATTTGACGTTTCGACTCCTCACAATGTAGCCTCTTCAGCACATATGCCATAAATGTCACCAACAGCTCACGAGAAAGTTATAAAAAACCCTGTAAAATAACAACAAAAAAGAGATACTTTTTGAGGCAAGACGTCGATTGGGCGAGAAATAATAATTTAAATTTATCCAAAAACGAAAGGGGAAGATAATGGAAGTACTGGATTCGCCTAACGGTAAGAATCACTCGCTAAACTTATACACGTAGCGAGCTGTCATATGCTGCACTGAAAAAGTGATCTATTGCCAATTTTCCTTTAGACTATTTTCACCGAAAAAACAAAAAAAAAGGATTATTCCAAATTTAGCATCGTACAAAATTGATTTAAAATACAATTTTGCCGTTATCCTTTCCAATAAAGTGTCTGAGAATAAATTATGAAGGTGAACATAAAGACAAACTATTTGACTATTGAGTGACCGGTTGTTTAATAATTCGTTGAATTCGCGAGAAACGGTCAACAATGAAATAGTTTGAAAAACACCTTTTTCATTTTTTGCCGACGTTTCGACATTTATTTGGGTCATCATCAGGGACTGAGTGAATTACGAAACATAAGTTGTTTGGAAATACAAGACAGAAGTAGATACAAAATTTGAACCAAGTATTTCATACTCACATAAAGTGAGGTACTATTCTTCCGGTGTGATATTGGTGATGTTCGCAACACCAATATGACACCCCAAGAATAGTTCAAAGTTCAAGCTCCTCTCGATCAACAAATTTACTTTCTTGACACTGAAGTAAACATTGCTATGTACTTCTTTCAATTAATTAATCGTTTTATGTCAGGTATTGGTTGAGATAAAAAAGTCAGTGCCATGAGCGGGATTCGAACAAACGACCTTCGGTTCAATAATCCGCTGCTTTACCACTTGATCTATCGTGACTTCGAACCACTCAGTCACTAACTTCCCATCTCAACCCGACGTTTTGAATTTTCCCTCCTTTTTGCCATTTTTCAAATGTCGTGTAATCTATTTGATTCTCGGCGACAATCCCGCTCGTGACACTGAGTTTTTTATCTGGACTAAAAACCTTAATAAATTGAAAGATATTAATTGGTCAAGCCGACCACGAAAGATAGGTGTCAGAAAAACATTTTCTTTCTCGTGCCAACGTTTCGATCTTTATTGAGATCATCTTCAGGGCCTGGATTTACAAACATTGTAAATTTAACAAATAATGTAGGATGTGGATAAAAGTGAATTTATACAATGAAAGAAAAACATTTTTTATATTCAATCAAAGTATTTCTACGTAGAAAAAAACACTTTGAGTGAGTAAAAATACTTTGATTGTATATAAAAACTATCTTTTTTTGCATTGTATAAATTCACTTTTTTCCACATCCAACATGTATTTGTTAAATTTAAACAATGTAAATCCCAGGCCCTGAAGATGATCTCAATAAAGATCGAAATGATGGGACGAAAAAGAAGTTTTTCTGAAACCTACATCACACCAGACGGCATCTCACGATTCTGAATAATAATAAAAAAAAGGCACAATTTCAATATTAACTCGAGTATTTTTAAAACGATCATGACAATAACAAGAAAAGTTATTCTATTTTGTTTATTTATTTAAGATATAATAACATTCTTTTCAAGCAAATACGCTCAAGGAATCAGTATAAACAGATAAATAAAGTAATGACATTTTATGCCATGATGCTGTTTTTAAACTTAAAAGTTGAAAAGAGTACTTTGGAAGGACTGAAAAGTAAACATTGGTAAAATTACAGCTTTTCAATGCGCCGACTATGTCAGGGGATTGAAAAAATTAAACTTGAAAGTTCAGGATTGAAAGTTTTCAAGTCATTTGAGTACTTAGCAGTCCTTCTATCGTCCTCTCTAAAATTTACCCTTTCATTATCAAATTTTACTAGTAAGAGCACTACAGACATTTCTATAAAAAAGTGAGTTATTCCAGAAATTTGAAAAACATTATGTTTCTGCGTTGAATAAGTTTAAAATTTAAACTTGAACCCAACTTATGGACGGGTTTGTGGATTTGATCGAAGAAAGTTTCAATCATGGTTAAAACTGGGATGGTTGCTATCGTGAACTTAGGGCACTTCTCAAGCCACAAAAGGACGTATTATGGCTCACAGGTGATCTGGTTGCCTGTGGCTCGGATTCTCTCAAAATTTTACGTTACATTAAAACATTAGGCTCATCCGTCAGAGTGGAATTAGGTAATAATGATCATGATGAATTATCGGTGTATATGCCAACATTAGCCATAATAAATCCAAAGACAAACTGAAAAAATACTAACAGCCGCTGATTCTGATGAGTTAGTTAATTGGTTATGACGCCAACCACTACTACAAGTTGACAATAAGAAAAAAATCATCATGGCACATGCTGGGATCACACCATAGTGGGACTTACCAACAGCTCAGATGTTCTTTGAAGAGGAAATGCTTGCAATTTTTGAAAAAAGAAATAAATAGAGAATGAGAACAACGGACGATAACTTCTCTACCATTTATGAAAAACAGGCAAGTTTTGCGACTAATCTGGCGCAAAGGACAATTAAGAAATCTAGAGGAAAAGATAGGTAGATAGACAAATAGGTCGAGAGATATAATAAAAAGGTAAAGAAAGAGACAGAGAGAAAGCAGAGAAAAAGAGAGATAGAGGCAGTGAATGTCAGAAAGAGAGAAACAGATAGAATGAGAGAGAGAGGGAAAGAGAGTGATTGCGAAAAGTGAGATAGAAAGAAAGTGAGCGGGCGTGATGAACTTGAATTGTATTGATCGAATAATTTCTAGTTTCGATAATTGTATCTACACAATGAGTGAGGCCAAAAAGAAAGAAAAAAATTGAGAATGATAACATGAGAGAGAAAGAGAGAGAGAGAGTGTGTGAGGGAGGGGGAGAGAGAGAGATGGATTGTACACTAAAATAAAAAATACAAAACGAAAGTATGAGTGTAAAAACAGAAAATACAAAAATGCAAAGTGGACTTGAATTATACATATGAATGTTATAATCTAAAATATAAATATTTAGACTTTGCACCCAACAGAGAAATATGAAAATATGGTATAACGTAAGCAAAGGAAAAGAATGAGGTAGTAAGATAAAAAAGGATAAATAAGGAAGAGAGAGAGAGAGAGAGAGAGAGAGAGAGAGAGAGAGAGAGAGAGAGGATTGGATGAAAGTGAGAAAAAGAAGAGAAAGAGAAATAGAAACTGAGTGAGAGATAGAAAGTGAGTGAGAGAGAGAGAGAGAAAGATAAAGTGAAATAGAGAGAAGGAGAGAGAGTGAGAGAGAGAGAGAGAAAGAGAGGAAATAGAAAGTGAGTGAGAGAGAGAGAGAAAGAGAGGAAATAGAAAGTGAGTGAAAGATAGAGAAAAAGATAAAGTGAAATAGAGAGAAAGAGAGAGAGAGAGTGAGAGAGAGAAAGAGAGAGAGAAATAGAAAGTGAGTGAGAGAGAGAGAGAAAGATAAGGTGAAATAGAGAGAAAGAGAGAGAGTGAGTGTGTGAGAGAAAGAGAGAGAGTGAGAGAGTGATAGAGAGAAAGAGAGAGAAAGATAAAGTGAAATAGAGAGAAAGATAGAGAGTGAGTGAGTGAGAGAAAGAGAGAGAGAGAGAGAAATAGAAAGTGAGTGAGAGAGAGAAAGATAAAGTAAAATAGAGAGAAAGAGAGAGAGTGAGAGAGAGAGAAAGAGAGTGGTCTTGTCTTGAATCGTCCGAATCTGATGACCTACAAGTTATTGGATATTATGTACTAACATAAAAAGTATAGAAAGGGCAAAAGTAAGAGAGTAAAGGAGAAAAAATTCGAAATTTAAAAGACAAGGAGACAAATTGGTATTGAATTATACGAATGTGAATGCGTAAAAGACCAATTAATTTGGACTTAATATGTTACGCTAAGAAATCGAATAGAGCAAAATTATTCCAGCTATAATTTACACCCATATTATTATTTAACTCCAATATATAGATTTTAGTTGATTAAACAATTGTGATCTATGGGCCGACGGTGATTTTTTACTTAAAATGTGTTAGTTGTTAGGGCAACATGAGAAGAACAACACAAATTCCATTTTTAGAAATAGGTCAAAAATACTTGTCGACTATAATACCAAATAGAGGTAACAAGTGCCATATTACTTGCATTACTAGGAAAATCATATCCGGATCCCGTTCCGAAATTCCCCAGGAGTCACAAACTGACCTAAACCGAAAGGAGAAGTTAATGAAGAAAAAAAAGTACAACACGGCCAGCGGCGGAGATCGAAAGTGGACTTAAAACCCTCAAAGAAAACAGGTGTGGTGGGGATTCTGGATCGTAAGGTGGGCCCAGGTTGAGGCTTAACTCGAGAACAGACTCACTTTCGCACAGCCCATCACCCGGGTTTAGCTTGCACGCATCCAACTCGACCCACCGTTCAAATCTCCGCATGTGTTTCGTTCCTTCGTTTAAATCTCTTTGGACTGTTCGGTTTTACAAATTGAGTTATTTGATTTAAATACGCCTGGATCTGCGCCACCGAAAACGGTAAGCTTAACGATACGAACCATTTATGATGAACTATGATACACATTTTTATTCTATCAGAGATGGATATAAAACAAGCTAAATAATAAAAAAATCTAAATATATAAGTAAGAGTACAGCATTTTAATATAAATTTCAACAATACACACAGAATATTAATAGAAGATACTTAAATGATAATCATCTTTCTAATCCATAAGACACCAGGTTGTCACAAAAATATCAAAGTACAATGCAAGTATATATAAAAAAAAGTTTTATCTAACCAAATCCATAATCTGGTCTGCCTATTTTTGGGTTGTTCTTCCAGTTGAGAAGATATTCTGGAGCATATAAATTCCAAATTAAAAACGAGGGTGGATGAGAACTTCTCCACATCATTAGTGGTAATTAGTTATCAACATAAAACCGTTTTATTCGGATAAACTATCAATTGAAGACATCTGATAAGAATAACATTGAAAAAAAGGAAAATGATAATTGAATTTTTTTACCTGCTTAAATATAGTAATATTCGGTATTGCTGTTTCAATGCATTTTTTGTTACACCAAAAAAATAAAATTTACAAAAAATACAAAATTTAATTTTTTCAAACCTTCACGCACTCAATTCAAAAAATCCAAGAAAATTTAATAATTCACCTGTAATACATAAATATTTACAATGGGCTTAATAAAAATAGTCAAGATTGATCTTCTAATAAAAAAAAAGAAATTATAATGTGACGATAAAACATTATTTCATGCAAAGAACAAATATGGACTATCCAAAACAGATCAATTTTCATGTTTACCTTCTGATTATTATCACCTATTTTATTTTGCCAGCTTCTTTAGCCATTGATGATCTTCTATGCATGTATCTGATAACCTTTGTTTAATAATTTTTTAATTATGCTTTTTTTTGTCCTTGGTTTTCACCATTAGCACAAAGACCACAGTTTAATTATGCTTAGAATAATAAAATAACGGGTTTTTTTCGACCAGATCGGACATTATAAATGAACCATAAATAAATATGATTATTTGCTATGAATATTTTTATTCTGTTTATCTGTTTATTCATAATTCGTTCTTTTTTGACTGACAAACGGATTATTGATTAATAGAGTGCTAATAAAAAAAGTTTGGTTAAATTTTCCAGCTCACGAAGCAGTTGCTTTTTTAAAGAAAACTTTAAAGAAAACTAATTCTTAAAAAGGTCTAGAAATATCCTCAAATTTTTAGTTTAGTTACATATTTTTTTCAAAATGAAACTTAAGGTCGAATGGAAGAAAAAATTCTTAAAATTTTAATGAAACATTTAGAAACAGCTATAAATTTAACAGACCAATATAGCGAGAACAGGCGGACCGGGATGATCAAGGACGTTTGGTCTACTTGTAAATTTGACATGATTCTCCCGTCTGAATTTCAGATATCTCGTAAACTGGTTAGATTTAAAAGGTTACTTTGTAAGGTTAAACAAAAAAAGTTTCTTCATTTTCTTACAGTTTTACGGATTTTTAAGATATCTAAAGACTCGGTATCGCTGATGCTTTGCCAAAAAAGCTGACGAGTTTTTCTATTCAGTTTAAAAAAAAATAAAACAGTGTAAAATAGAAATACGTAAATTTAGTTTTATTTTGCATCTATTGTTCTTACAATGTCCCGGATAATAAAATATTGATCACATGGTGAAATTTTGAAATTTGAGGCATAAGTACAAGCTTGGTTAAATCTGAGTAATATAAATCAATATAAAGAAAATTAATTGATACACTTAGATTATAAATTTGATCATTATTGGGTATTGTCTGATTTAAGGAGAATTATTAACCATTTTTATTCTTAGGAGTCGTTAATAGAAGATTCATAAATTTTTTGAAATTCGCGATTTCAGAACATCTACATGTCCAGGATCTTATTCGGAAGATATTTAACATTCCCTTAATGCTTTGAAAGGAAAAAGTCATTCTCAATGCTTCGACTTCCTCGAATTTCTCCGACCCCATAAGCGCCAATTATTCCGAATGAGACATCGTCGATTTGCCCGCATTTTTGTCGCCGTTCTTAGTTCGATTTAATTTTATTTCATTTCTCAGAAAGGGGCTTAAAAATCAATTCAAGGCGTTAGAAAGGTTACGTTATAATTTTGAAAAAGGCCTATGCGCCTGGAAGAACACCGTAGTCACGCCTGCCCACGGCATGCCCAAAGAAAGGCATCAGAGCCGATCCCGGTCCTCCTCCTTCCAACATTTCTACGTGCTCCGTCTGTTATAATTTCCTCTATTTTTGCCACCCCCGGAACCTCGACGCCATTACGTCTTTCAACATTATCGTTCTTTTTATGAAAAACTAAATTAAGCGCCTACCAATAACTCACGCAAATACACAATCAAAAACCTATGCAGCAGGTTTTACAATATAAAAAAAATTTAATTATTGCAAATATGTGATAGATTAGTTCAGAATATTCGACCTAAATTATCCAGTAATGGAAATACTGCTTATATTTATTCGAAATAATTAATTGGACGTTCATTAAACGTTGAACAAGCTGTAATTTAACATCACTCATAAACGGGAACAACTATGAGGTCATCCGCTCTCGGACGCAACAGGCCACTTTCACAAAATCATGTGTGATTCGTGGAGAACAAAAGTAGTGCAGAATTGAGTAAAGTGGTGAAACTCAAAATCAATCCGGCTAGGGGCTAAATTACAAATCATTTCGACATGTCGCGACGGAGGAAAATCAATTTTTGTGGTTGATTTTCTCACCCAATATTTGACCTTTACATTGATTTGTTAGCGCGTCTAGTTAATTATTCTGCGAGAAAAGGGAGAGAGAGAGAGAGAGAGAGAGAGAGAGAGAGACTGATTCACTGTCTTTAATTATCAGCCCTCAAATATAATTACTTTCAATTTTTTATTCTAGAAAGAAGAAAGATGAAATAAAAGTACTAATGGAGAAAATATAATGTATAAAGAAGAAAACTAGGCCATCATCTTTAAGACACAATCTATCTCTAATTATACGTGATTAGGGACAGATCCCATTTCCTATTATATTTAATCCTGTCAAAATATATGATGGATTTCCATTGCAAACATGAGACAAAAGGGAAATAAGATAGAAATGGGGAGAGGGAGAGAGAGTGAGAGGGGGAGGAGAGTGATTGCGAAAATTGAGATAGAAAGAAAGTGAGCGAGCATGATGAACTTGAATTGCACTGATCGGATAATTTCTAGTTTTGATAATTGTATCTACACGGGAAAAAATGAAATAAAATGAGTGAGGCCAAAAAGAAAGAAAAAAAATTGAGATTGATAACACGAGAGAGAAAGAGAGGGAGAGAAAAAATTACTAACAGCCGCTGATGCTGATGAGGTAGTTAATTGGTTAAGACGCCAACCGCTACTACAAGTTGACAATAAGAAAAAAATCATCATGGCACATGCTTGGATCACAGCACAATGGGACATAGCAACAGCTCAGATGTTCTTTGAAGAGGAAACGCTTGCAATTTTCGAAAAAAGAAATAAACAGAGAATGAGAACAACGAACGATAACTTCTCTACTATTTATTAAAAATAGGCAGGTTTTGCGACTAATTTTCTCAAAAAATAAACTGGAAACATGGCGCAAAGGACAATTTAGAAATCTAGACGAAAAGATAGGTAGATACAAAAATAGGTCGATAGATATAATAGAAAGGTAAAGAAAGAGACAGAGAGAAAGCAGAGAAAAAGAGAGAAATAGAGACAGTGAAGGTGAGAAAGAGAGAGAAGAGAGAATGAGAGGGAGAGAGAGAATGGGAAAAAGAGTGATTGCGAAGATTGAGATAGAAAGAAAAATAAGTGAGCGAGCATGATGAACTTGAATTGCATTGATCGAATAATTTCTAGTTTTGATAATTGTATCTAGACGGGAAAAAAACGAAATAACATGAGTAAGGCCAAAAAGAAAGAAAAAATTGAGAGAGAGAGAGAGAGAGAGAGAGAGAGAGAGAGAGAGAGATGGATTGTACACTAAAATAAAAAATATAGAGCGAAAGTATGAGTGTAAAAATAGAAAATACAAAAATGCAAAGTGGTCTTGAATTATACATATGAATGTGATGATCTAAAATATAAACATTTAAACTTTGCTCCAAACAGAGAAATATGAAAATAGAAAATATGGTATAACGTAAGCAAACGGAGAAGGATGCTGTAGTAAGATAATGAAAAAGAATAAAAATGAGATAGAGAGAGGACTGGCTGAAAGGGCGAAAAATAAGAGAAAGCGAGCGAGTAAAAGAGAGAGAGTGTGTGAGAGAGATAGAGAGAGTGAGAGAGGGAAAGAGAGAGAGAGATGGATTGTACACCAAAATAAAAAATATAGAGTGAAAGTATGAGTGTAAAAATAGAAAATACAAAAATGCAAAGTGGTCTTGAATTATACATATTAATGTGATGATCTTAAATATAAACATTTAAACTTTGCTCCAAACAGAGAAATATGAAAATAGAAAATATGGTATAACGTAAGCAAACGGAGAAGGATGAGGTAGTAAGATAATGAAAAAGAATAAAAATGAGATAGAGAGAGGACTGGCTGAAAGGGCGAAAAATAAGAGAAAGCGAGCGAGTAAAAGAGAGAGAGTGTGAGAGAGATAGTGAGAGAGAGAGTGAGAGAGTGAGAGAGGGTGAGAGAGAAAGAAGGATTGTATACTAAAATAAATATATAGAGCGAAAGTATGAATGTAAAAATAGAAGATACAAAAATGCACAGTGTTATTGAATTATACAAATGAGTGTGATGACCTAAAATATAAATATTTAGACTTTGGCTCTATACAGAGAAATATGAAAATATGGTATAAAGTAAGCAAAAGGAGGAGGAGGAGGAGGTAGTTATTAACATAACAAAAAAAATGTAAATGAGAGTGAGTGAGAGAGAGAGAGAGAGAGAGTGACACAGAGAGAGTGAGAGGAGGAGAGATTGATACCGCTTTATTTACATAATCTCTCAA